TTTCACAATACGTTAATAGAATGAGAGATGCATGTAACAAAATTACCTCTAAAACATTTCACAATGTGAAGAATGAATTCGTAAACTGACTACGTGATTGTGGAAAATTTCATGGTGTAAATTTTGAAAATTTTATCCTTTGGATAAAATATTTTTTCGAAATTATGATTTTTATCTAGTTATCTATCTAGTATTCTAGTATATAACCTGAAAGGTAGCTGCTTGCAACACCCTCCTATGCAAAGGAGTCAGCATCCTCATTGCCTTCCAGGTCAGTATGGCCAGAAATTCACACCAGAGACAATCTGTTGTCTTCCTATCGAGGAGAGTTGTTTTCGGCAATTTGCTACCAATTTAGATGTTGCTAGGTAGGAGCAAAGAGCATTCAACGCCGCTTGACTGTCCGAAAATATTTTTATTGACTTGTGTATGAGTCCATCAAGCCTCTCTCTTCAGAAAAATGTGGAGAGAGAGAGCTTCGCCTGGACCGTTTTCTGTAAAGCCTTCGGCCACCAGGCAATTGTACCATGGGTGATCATTGGTCTGCCAATCACCACATAAATCCAATGGATTTGTTTGGGACCTAAACCCCAAGTTGTACCATTAACCCTGAGTCATGTCCATAGGGATAGTCTGGCTTTGTGTAAAACTTATTCTAAATGAGCGTTCCAGCTAAGTTTTTTATCAGGGGCAATGTCAAGATATTTCACCTCCGTTCCAAATGGAATGACCTCACCATTGAAGACAAGTAGCATTTGATCGTTCAATAACAAGCGCAACAGCTCTCAATTCTCTATGTTTCTCAATTGTGTTATTCCAAATATAGGTGACATAGACGGTCGCCCGTTGATCTTTGGTTTCGAAAGTCATATTGATGATTGCTTAAAATGTTGAAGTCTTTCAAATATTTGAGGATACGGTGGTTTGCGACTTTCTCCGTGATTTTTGATATCACTGATAGCAAAGCGACTGGTCTATAGTTATTTGAAATATTTTTATTGCCCTTTTTGGGTTTAGGCTGAACGCGAGCAATCTTCTTTTTTTTTGTAGGACAGGTTGAAAAGTCTACATCTTCATTTGCGCACAGTACGATGACGGGCACTTCATCAGGGTCAAACGCCTTGTTGATATTGAGCTAATTCAAAATTCGCCTAGACGCTGTCGAAAAGTAATTTCCGGCATTGTGGTTTCTAGTGTGGGAATAGTGGGTGGTGCCTTTTCCAGAAAATCGACTGTGGAGTGGGACGCAAATTGTTCAGCTAGTAGGTTTGCTTTTTCTATGGCTGTTGTTGCAACTGAACCGCCTGTATTGGTGATGGAATTGTGGATTTTATAAATTTCTGATAAACAGCTGTAGCTACCGACCAGAAGGATCGAGACCCGTTGGAATTCGCAAGAAGCAGTTTATCTCTAACTCCCTAGTTGTGAAGTTCTTTGCTTTCATTTATCCTAAGTTTGCATCTGTTGCGAGCATTAACAAACCTAGTTCAGTTTTTGCGACTGCGACTGTGTGAATTTCTGGATTGATTGTTAGGTATAGATCCAAATGACTAGCATATTCTCCATCACTGTCAGGAATCCTGGTTTTCTCATTTATAATTTGAATAAGTCCGCTGCTTATTGCGAAAACCTCAGCTTCGCGACCTTGTTCGTCGCCGACATTTGAAAATTTGAGCCATTCGATATTGTGGACATTGAAGTCGCCGCCGAATATGGAAATTTCGGCACTAGGATGATTGACTTGCAGAAAATCAATGGTGTTTGTAAGTGAAGAGAATAGTGCCCTGTATTGTGTATCGCTGGGTGGTCGATGAACGCAGCATATGAATTTGGTGATCTTCTGTGATATTATGTTGAGCCATGTGTCTTATATTATTTTCTCAATTTCGCATTTTTCTTCACTAAACGGGAACCTAACAAGTTATATAGGTGATTTTGTCCCAACAATTTTTTTAATGAATAATGGTGGGAGATATCAGCTANTTTTTTTTACTCATTATTTTATTACAATATTTATAATCCAAAAACCGAACATTCTCTGCGTATCTGAAACGTGGTGTAATAGTTCGAGTATAGACACTATTCAATTCGATGGATATAATGTTGCCACACACTTCATAAGACACGATCATACCTACACATGGAGGCGCTCTTATTTTGGTAAAAAACGAATTTGTTCACAAAAATGTGTCAATTCTAGGAAATATGGTCGTTTTTTCTGACAAGCTATTCAGTGCTCTAGAACTCTAGATTATTGTGATAAACATTTCGATAATATTATTGTCTGTGGCGATCTGAATGTTGATTATTTATGTGAGTCAAAAAACAAAACTTTATTTGATGACTTGCTCCAAAGTTTCAATCTGGCTTGCAAAAATATTGAAACGACAAGAGTTTTCACTTATTCAGACGAAAGAACCAGTATTTCAAAAATTGATAACTTTTTAACAAACATGCCCCAAACACTGTATTCGGAAAGAGCTTTATATGTAAATCTAGCAGATCATTTATGTTTGTGCTTTGATATGACAACTATCTCATATTCTAGTGATAATATGCATAAACACATCAGTTACATGAATACAAACCTCGAAAATCTTTGTCGACTTCAAACCATGTTGAATAATGAAAATGTTAAATCTGTCTATGATAACTCTTTTAATATTCACTGTTCTTATGCGACTTTTCTGATATTATTATCATATTGGATTGGCATGTCCATTTGTTAAAAGAACCGTTAATCTCGATCAAAACATTTTCAATGAATTTAAAAAAGCATACAGAAAAATACTACATGAAACCAAGTATTTATTTTATCAGGGTAGTCGTGAAAATAAAAACCACCACGAAAAACAGAAACAAATATGGAGCATGGTGAGACATAAAACAGGGAAAGGTAAGAAAATAATAATTCGCGAGTTACGGATAAATGATACACTTGTCTGCGATAAAAATATTATCGCTAACAACTTTGGCACACATTTTTCAAAGATAGCTGAAAGAACCATATATAAAAAACACTTTGGTTCCACGTCTTTCAGTAGCACAACAACAATGTTTGAAAGTCAAATCTTCTATTTTTCCCCTGTTCACTCAAGCGATATTTGTGAAATCACTTTATTTAAAATAAAAAATACTAACTCAGAAGGAATCGATTGCATCCCTACGAAAATCTTGAAAAGCATTTATTTATATATTTATATTTATTATTAGCTTTTTCGATCAGACATTGAAACGTGACA